CCACAGAGACTGCCAGAGGGACTGGCACTGCAATTATATGAGACATTCACCTGAGACAAGTTTAGGCATCTGACAAGTGACACTATCCAGTAGAGCTGACAGTGTCTGGATGTCACCTATTCTTTCTCTTATGGGGACATTGATGATGATACTGGAGACTATTTACAATGCAATTACGTACCAGTGTTTCATTCCAAGGTGATGCCCAAAGATTGAAAACACTCTTTGTTCTATGTTCTGCAATCTAACAGTGAACAGGGCACAACGGATATGATTGTTTTGACTGGAAAAGATAGCAGTGTACATCTTCTAGCTACATCTGAAGTGACACATACACCAACATTACATTTCTTACCCTGGCAACATGGCTCCTATGTGATAAAAGCAACAACACTGAAACAGCTCCTTAGGTCTGAAAGTACCCTTGTGAATTTCTGTCCAGTGTGGGGTCACGTCACATGACATTTGGCACATTTCACACTTTTGCTTTAATCTCCTCACAGTGCACAACAAAGTTTTTCAGCCCAGAAGCTCTGTGTAGAAGCCACATCATTAGACAGATGCCCTTTAGTGATCTAATGCTATCACTGAGCTGTGTAATCTGGATCTGACATATTTGGTGTACAACACGTCAACCAAGAGAATCACAAGATACATTCATGGCATTGGAGGAACTGATAAGTAGGATAGGCATAAATTGTATTTCTTAACACCCAGATTTAATCATAACTTCCTCTCCTTGTTGGAAAAGACCCCAGTGCTGTAAAGAAATCTTACCTGTGTCGTTTTGTATAACTTGACTTCCCTCGTTGGTAGTGTCCATGCAGAAAGGGGCGGAGGGCGATGCTCCTGAACAGCCCGTCCTCCGCTGACTCCTCCAGCCTCAGCTGAGGGATGAGATGCCCACAGGCCATGTCTTCTGTAACAGGTGTGTGCTGCTGTTAGCGATGTGTGAAGTTCTGGCGAGCTGTAAGTTTCCTGTCTGGAAAACAACGTGCACTAAGAGGATACTCCCTGCGACCTACTGTAGGCTACACTATCATTAACCTGCACTTCCTCTGCTCTGCGATGTGGAGCTGCCTCCGGAGTCTAGTGATCTGCAGGTGTCCTTGATTTTGATCCCACCTAAGTGAGAAAGTTATTTCCCTGTAGGCTACATTTGAAATTAAAGGGATTAGATGTACAGAAGTCCAAATACATTTCAACATAGTTCACCCACGTTCTATGCTGGAATTGTATAAAAGAACGGCTCATTCATAGGCTGACTGAAATGTGTTTAAAGTAAACGTTACATCATCAGAGGTGCATTGGTAAGTTGTTCCACAGCTTGGAATCTATTGCCACATCTCCTCTAAGTTCCACTGATATTATTATAAATATAAATTCTTATGAAAAAAATCATTTTAGCTTATATTGATAGATATTCCCCTGAAAGTAATTTAATATTTGGCCTTGATTAAGTTAATTTTATTTAAACTGTCACTACTGGATGACATATAGATACTGTATACTGTGTAAATGCAATAGCGTAAGTAGTATAGATGTCCTGTTGAGTGTAGCATTCTGTAAAACCAGCTATGCAAAAAAAACAGGATTCTGTGGCCAACATCAATAAAAAGATCCTCAGTTCTGCCTGTGCTTGGTTAAACTGATGAAATTCACTGCTATGTCTAGAATGGATCTGTGATGTTAAAAATAGATTCTGAAATGATGCAAACTGTAGTAATGCCTTTATTGTACAAAGTATTGTAATCAACATGTTTAGATGAAGTCTGTAAGTCAACAGAAAAACCTGGCTAGAATGTGAAGGTGAAATCCTCCGCTGACTGGTTTTCCTCTTATCTAATTACCCTGCAGTTAATTTTACTTGCGTGCTCCATTAAATGATACTTTATCATTAATTGCTTAATTTTTCAATTATACTGACTAATAGCTTTCAGAATTTGGTTTAGTTTACTAAATTCATGCTTTTTTCTTTTCTTGTTCAACAAAGAAGATGTTATGTTTTTATTTTAGCAGCGTTGACAACACCAGTGACTCCTGGTTAATTCAAAGCTCTACAGGAAACAGTTAAGTAACAGTTTTTCTCAGCTATAAAGATCATATAATCACAATATGAACTGATGCTCACATTTAGCTGGAGTAATCAGAATCTGTGCTGTCAGATAGAATTTTGCAGTTTTGCCATCACAAACGGATTATTTTACTATACTTCATTTACATCCAAAGACAACTCATGTTTTAAAGTGACGAATTTCAGCAGGGAACAAGTCAAAAATAGCATGTTATTAACCTCACTATCTGAATATATGCCAATGCTATAATTAGAGTAGTTGTCAGAGAGTAAAACATACTTAAATGTGGGACGCAGTGTTCATTACCCAAAGACAACCAGTGCAAAGACTCATAAAGCACTAAGTCCACAGTATTAGTCATAAAGACTGACAATAGTGAAGCCAGTTTACTGCCATCAATGGTTTGCTATACTGTTCCTTTACTACCATTCTCTTAGCAGATTACTAACAAGATGCTTCACTTTCAGATGAATGAAATGCATACATTAAAGGTTTTATTGAACTTAAACTCTATATGCTTGTTTATTGTTAAATTGCATGTCAACCTCATCATAAAAATCTACTAACAGTCTCCACTTCTTCAGTCCTGCTTGTGTGTTACACTTGCTTTAAGCAAAGCCACTCATCAAACTCAGAACCTTCTTGTTGTGAGGCAACAGACAGCACTAATCACTGCGCCACCATGGCACCCACGTATGTGATAAGGTTAATGTCTAAAAAAAAAAAGAAAACGTTATCCAGGCCTCATAGATATAGAACCCTAGGGTGACAGAAACATTCTGAATATAGATCACCATGCTCCGAAAGATAGCATAGGTTACACATAATATCTGTGATTAATTCATGTCAACTGATATGTGGCTTTCTGCATGATTTCTCTTATCTCATTAGGAGCCTATCAGCACTACAGACAACATGAGAGCTATCCCCAATCAACACCAGGGGGTGCAATTATATAAGTGACTTCTATTATGAAGTATTTACTTTGCAGATTGCAGAGGGTGACCAAGAACAAAATATGATTTGGTATTAATTAGGCTACAAAGCCTGCTCAGAACCAAAAGATTTCTGTGTGATGACAAATTTTATCACTTTTGTATTTGGACTAATTAAAGTACTAGTGTCCCTTTTCCATGTAATTTCATAATTGTGACACATCATTTTATTACATGATTTGCAGCTTTTGATGTTCTCTAAATAGGCACCAAATTTAGTTAAATGTAGATTTTCTGTATACAGTGTAAACAGCACAAACCCATAACAATGGAAACCACCAGCTTGAGAGTTCTGATCCAAACCATAAGTAAACGTTGTGTGTATGCACTATATGTGGTCATGCCAGTAAAATGGATTTATGACATTGTCATCACACATGTCTAGTCATGTGAAACAACAGGCACAGAGGCATGGACCACGGAGTGGAATGTGATTTGGCCTTGAAAATGGGATCCTGCTTGATATGGATGTAGTATTTTGAAAAGATGTAAATTTGACAAGCAGTCCAAAGGCAGCTCCTCAACAGATGTCAGTGAACACTTTGGCAATTGTATCATCCCGGTGGCTTGTTCATAAAGCATTTATTCAGGGCAATATTTCAACTTGTTCAATCCACTTTTTGCATCATACTTCTTGTGTACATTCTTGAAGCTTGAAAATAAAGTCACACTCTGTCTCTTCAACCCCTGCTGACACAGACACACTATCTTGGCAGTTCAATAGATTGCCACTATAATAAGAAATTTTCAGTGGAGAGAGATGAATGTCAGTCAATGTACGTATCTCACAGTTCAGTGGATATTGCTGTCCTTATTGCCGTGGGCATAAGTGTCACACTGTGAGAGGCTGAGGACTGGGAGACTGTGCCCCATGCTTCATGCTCAGCTAATGAGAAACTTTGGACCTTGAAGGGTTTAGTTACAGTGACTATGCAGGATGCAACATCCACATTTGTAATATATTAGAATTGGTATAGCTCCACCAGTGTCCCTTAATGTTTAAAGCCATGGATATACTACAAAACTGTATATTGTGTTTTAATATGAAACCCCATTCCCCCATTCACTCCAGTAAAAGCTCCTCACCACGTGACCATGCTGAAAACATTCTTTAAGCTTCTGCATTTTTGGGTTCCTGCACATGAATTAGAGAATGGATTGGGCTGCATAGTTCCGTCTGAACCCAAACCGGACCTGACAAGCTTATAGTATCTGATGTCTGAACCACATTTGAGTTTGTACAGTGTTTTCCCCCTTACCATTCATTAAACGAAGCAGACATTTGAGTGCTCCAGCCATCTAGCCTGAAGTTTGACCTATGTTTCTGAACCCGACCTGGACCCAAACATAATTTCTAAATTTCTGTCTGAACCTGGTTCAAACCCTCGGGTACCGACGGGTTCCGTCAGGCTCAGTTCAGGTATCCACATTATAGGAACAAACATAAAAATCTTCACTCACTGAATGGGTTAACATCCTGATATAGTTCGAAATCTTCATTATTTGAATGGGTTAACATCCTGATATAGTTCCTCATGAATTTTAATTCCATTTCAATACATTGCAAAACTTGCACTGCTGACCATTTCGCAAAGCATGTATTAAACGTTTATAGATGATCTACACTGGGATGATCAATTTGCTGATTCTCGACACAGACCTTTAGTCTACCCAGTTTGTTCTCAGCTGCTAGAAGGTCTAGTGAGACTCAAAACAAACTGACACCATAAGCCGCTCCTAACCACTATTTGCCTCTCCCATCACTTCCTGTTTCCTAGCGACTATAACAGAGGAACTTGGGGAGTGACAATAAATTCACAAATGTACAGTATGAAGGAAGGAAAGATTTACCAAATGCTTTCCAAATACCTGAGCTTTCTGACTGAAAATCCAAATCAGGATGCCACAAGACCAGTTAGGTTGTCATTGAATATTTTATTTGCAAATGAAAGAGTAATAACTCAGAAATCGTAAAAATATACATTTTTTTACTTGTGATATTTACATGGATTGTTTTCATCAAACAAAGGAACAAACAAACAAAAAAATTCTGTACTGTTTTAGAAAACAAAAAAGAAGCCACAGCAGAAAAAAAAACAGATGAGAGTAAAGAAAGCGTGTCTTAAATTTTTAAATTTCCCTTCAGTATCGCGGTGCCGAGCGTGTCTCTCCTTGACATCAAAACAATGTAGTCAAGAGAAACAGCCAACCACACAGATCCTACTCAGGCCGGTGATGAGCAAAGCACACAGAAAAGTGCAAAGTACATGGATGAAAACTTCAAAATAAAGAAGACAAAAATAAAGCCTCATAAAATTTTTCTGTGAATATATTTACAATTGTAGATTTTTTAAAATTTTATCCGAATACAGTTATGTTACATCAAAGCAAAGCATTCCCGTTCATCTACCCATTCTCCAATGACATGCAGGTACTTTCCTTCTTGAGGGTGACTTCAGTCCCATCTGTATCCTTAAAGGTAACAATACATCACATTCCCTCAGACTGACATACAAGGCCGAACCACAAAGTCTGAGCACCACTTTGCCCCTGTGCAACAGCTTTAATCATAAATAAAACTGCTTTAATAGAACATAAAACATCGTTGCTACATGAGATTCATACTCCTATCATATAACGCAGGATAACCATTTATGATTTCATGTTTACTGCACCTTTGAGTGTTGATAATAAGACAATATATAGTGCTGATGGATACTGTTGTGAAGATTTATATTGGCTGTGCTGCTGAGGTGTGTTAAGACTTTTCCTCCTCCACTCTCTACTGAACTGACAAAAGCTCTTTAAAATTAATTTGTTGGAAAGAGCACAAGTTTGTCAGACCACAAAGCTGCTCACATGAGAGATGCAACGCGAGAGCTCATAAACTGGGGGAATCTGCCACCTGAGACTTGCACTTGCTGGAAAGCAAATCAAAAAGGTTGGAGGAATTTAACAGCTGGAAGACTTGCATCCCTTCTTCCACCTCCACCGCTACTTTCCTATGTAGTGGAAGGAGTTTCAGTGGCAGAAACCGACAGCCCTGGCTCATTACCAGTCCTGTTAAACCTCTCCTGATTCCCAGTATGTCTCTTTCAGATTCCCATGAGAAAAGTAATGAAAAAGACACACACATAAAAGTCATATGCTGTCCAGATTAAGATTCATAGCAGTGTCTGCCTGAGTGCCTGCATGTTTGTTTGCATGCAACTGTGTGTTATAGAAGTTGTGTGTGCATGTGTCTCCAGGTGTCCCCTGGGTGTTGCAGCGTCCCTGTCTGTGTCGCATTTAGTATCCTGGCTCCATCAGTCGGTTGTAATTCAAGCATTCGATCCAACAAATTGATTCTGAAGGAGCAGAAATAACAAGGAATATATATGTTTGGGCTATCTTTGGCCTGAATGTGCCAAGTTGTGTGTTTATTTATGTGAAATATATACAACTTTTACCAGTTTGTATTGTGTGTGTGCCTTCAGATACCACCAGTACACCCAGGGCCAAGTGCATTCTGTGTTAGGAGACAGCAGGAGCAAGGAGAGAGTGTACAAGTGGCCTCCAGAGCTGACGACAGATATGAATAATGGACTTACTTTGTCTCGAGATGCCACCCCCACAAGCAAAGACTTGACTGCTGCCTGCGAAGCCAAGTTCAGATGACATACAAGTCAGTGAAAATGAAAATACACACTGCCAGTCTGCAGTCATATCAGTTGGGATAGTGTTTACATTGCCTGACTGGATCCTTCTCACTCACTGAATGGCTAACATGAAAATGTGTGGGTGCAGCCCAGGGGTTTATACTGAATTTACATGCACACGCATCCACATTCAAAACCATGCATGCATGCACGCAAGCACGCACAGGCATAGACACACAGTACGTTCCATGATCAAATATGAACTGCTGTCTCTAGTTGAACATAATAGACATTTTTTTTCTAAATTTTCTTTACTGTTCTGTCATGTGAAATCCTGCACGTGAAGTCCAACCACATGTGTTTTTCAGGCAGATGTTGGTTTTCAGAATTTTTCAGGTTAAATTCATTTTGTTTAAGTTGAATGTGAAAATTCAGACTGAAGCCTATGGGCCTAGAGAGAATAGCAATCATTCATTACAGACTACAATATTAAACATAGTGACAATTTGCGATTCTTAGAACTTGTTGTTGGCACTTAAAGTGTTAAATTTATCCTGAGAGTAAAGGCCATGGAGTCAATAAAATAAAGCGCAGCTCATATTTGAAAAGGCTTTCAAATTTTCATTGCAATCTGCAATTAGATAAAGACCAACCTTGTACAAGAGTGGAAGCTGGGTAGTGTGCCAAATAGGCACATAGGTTTACCAAAATAGTCCTCCAGGGCTGATTATAAATATTCACAGCAGATTTTATGAAGCTCAAGATAAGGTCAAGGGGGAATTTTGACCTGGTGCTGTTGATTGTGGAAAGCTCACAGGGTCACTAAAATCAAGAGACATCCTTTTCAGGGGATCAGTAAAACATCTCATGAGAATCTGAACAGTAGCTGTGAAAATATTTTCCTTTGTACTGAGCAAGATGGGTTTGATGCTACACTTTCCATTACATATAATATTTGTTTCATATAGTATAAACAGAGTTCAAAGATAAAAATGTCAAAGGCGGTGTCTGAATTGGGGCTTCACTAGTTCACTTAGAGCACGTGTGCAAAAAAATCCCCTGGTTTAAATTCACTTTTTGGGTTTCCCATTTGACTCTTTTGCGAGGGGGGGAATCTCCCCTCACATACCCTCATTAATTTAAATGACATCATGTGCGTATATTGATCCGTATGTACAATATAAAACAAGACTGATTACAGAATGTACAATACATTGTCACATGGCATGGGATTACTCACCATGGATGATTTACTCTTCTTGGTGCTCCCTAGGCTGCATCTTTTTATTACTAGGGCATATATGTGAGGTTGTATCTTATTATTTGTTGTTGGTGGTGTGAACAGGGGCTTAACCACTGTTATGCTGAATATAAGAACAGAAAGAAACAGTCAAAGGGTAGAGGGATTCCAAAGGCACGCTAGATAGGCTACTTGCAATCAAACTGCACTTGGTCTGTCTGAGGATATGAAAGGAGGCGGCTTATACTGTAGCACAGTTCAACTAATAACCAAGTGGTGATTCAGTGAGACGGCAATCGAGTGTGACTTCATTGCTATGGATCCAGAGGGAGTACTGACAATGATACCACACACAGCCCCTATACAACTGAAGTCTCCCTTCATTCGGACATACTGTAGCAATTGTAAAATTGAATGTCAACGTCAATTCTTTGTGCCTTAGCTTGAATATTGATTTGGTACTTTATAGGAGGCTGAAAGTAATGGGATCCAACAGCTTTGTACACCACACATTCATGGTGACAGATTTTGGTTTCAGACAGAAATGTAGTAGGTAGACAAAAGAGTAAAAAAAGCAACAATAATAACCCATTCTAGGGACTGGTGGCACTTCTTAAAATGGATGAATAGACACAGCTGTCCGTCAGCCTTTACAACCTGTTCCCAGAGAGAAGACACAGGAGAACAGAAACAAAGAAAAGAAAAACAAGTCTAGCTGGTCTACTAGATACGTATACCCTATATTTAAAATATTTACTTGCTACAGGCCTAATACATACTATTTAACTATTTAGGGAAGATATGCAGGATTAGAAAAGGTTGTCCATAGATGTAGACAGGATGTGGGAGGGGATTACAGCTCCAATGATTTGGCTCCACTGTCAATGCTATATCCTTGTACCTGAAGTTTCCCCTGATGATAGGTAAAGCAGGTGAGCTGTTGGTAAAGCTGATGAGCCAGATGAGTCAGCCTCAGGACCACTGTGGTTTTTTGTGGGTTTGTTTTGAGACCATGAAAAGACCAAGAGCACCGAGGCAGATGATGCACACGCCGTGTGTTGTGTCTATCCACATGGATGGGCACAATTGGTCCAGCCCATGGGAGGGAGTTTTGCGGATTCAGAGCATGTGCTGGAAGCAGTGACTCAGAGGTGCAGGATGACATGAATCAGAAAACTCCAACCCCCTGCTCTCCCAGAGAAAAAAAAAAATCTGTGGCTGTCTTACACTTTTGCACTTTCTTCCTCCTTTTTCCATTCTGCTTGAATCTACTGTATCTTGTATTTGTTGACAACTGAAACCCAACAGCTATATGTCTCCGTTGGTACTGTACCTGGCTCTGGATTTGGATCTATTTCCAGCTTTAAATGCTTTCCTTCCCACCCCCTTCTTTTTCTCCACTGCATACCTAACCCTTTGATTTGATAAATAAATAAAAGTTCTACTAGGGGGCTCCTTACACCTCATTGCACATGCTTCCCTGTACCTTCCAAAGCCAAAAGAAGGAGCTCAGAAAATAAATTCTGCCTTTAGCTAAGAGACAGTGCTGCATCCCAGGTCTTGTTTTTTTCTTTTGTTTTGTTGTTTTATGTAATTCAGTAGGGGGAAAGCATGTCTTATTTTCCCTTTTTAAGTATGCATTCATTAAAAGTAATTTTAGTTTAGGACTCATAGTATTAATTCTTTTAATTACATCCTTTTAGCTAGTTGCATTTCTTTGTTTATGGGTGGGAGCTAGGGGGCTTGGGCAGGGATGGTAGTCTCAAATAGCTGCAGGAAGGGGCTACTTTCAGTCCTACACAGTCTGAAAGGCCTTGGTCTGGGCGGGCACCATGAGGGTTGGGGGTGTGGCCCCTGACGTGTTCCTGGAGTTAAATTTGGGGGTGGCAGGGGGCTCAGGGGTCTTGGGGGGCACCACTGCATTGTAGGCTGGAGGGGATTGGGGGAAGCCTGGGGGCTGTCCATTTTCCTTGAGCGCTGCTACAGCAGGTGGGCGAGGACGTTGGCCACGCTGGGCGCTGTTGTGCACCATGGACTGAGTGGAGGAGGCACCTGAGCGTGAGCTGCCAGAGCGGGATGAGGAGAGTGAGTTGGGCTTCACTAGCTTGGCCTTAGGAGCCTCTGCATCCTCCCTGTGGTTGGAAATACACACACACATACAGCAAACAATGGTGCTGGCCCATTTATTTTATATCAACTGTAACTCTAAAAAAATAAAGAAGAGGAGAACACACACACACACAAACACAATAAACTGAAAAACAACACAACGCAGTACCACTCCCTAAGACTATTCTAAAGCTCTATTCGCACAACAATAGTATACTGTGGGGACCTCATGCAATTCATAAGATACCCCCCCCCCAGCCCCTGAATTTCTTGAAACACATTTGCTTAAAATCATGAAATCTGCTGAAATGACTATTTCCAAAGATTCAACAGTTTTTGTTTGGACTGTTTTTGCTGATAACACAATAAAAACTTTCTTATAATTCTACCTTTTCTTCAGTTTTTCCATGACAGAAAGCTAATGAAAATTGTAGTACAAATGACTAAAAACTGCATTACAAAACAAGAATTCAACTGAAAGTAGCATTAATCACCAAAACTAAGGTAATTTGTGGAGCGATTGTTACTTGGATGGTGTTAAAATTGCAGAGGGTCTATGCAGTTATTATAAATCACTGTCACCGGGTCACTAGGGTGTGTGGGTTGTAAAGCTAAGTCAGCAGGTAATATTATCCCATTATGATTCTCTACAGAAAGTCAGAAATAGAAACCTCTCATCTGTGCACTGCTGGCGCTTCCTCCTCAGACACAGTTGAGAAGGTTCTATAACTCTTGGAAGAAAAAAAATACTAATTTTAAACAGCAGGGAGGTTGGTTCTCAATCCATGCCCAAGAGATGTGCGTCACCAAAGCTGGTGTGGTCTGCTGCAGCACATTAACTGAACAGCTTGGACTTTTAACATGGTATGAAAACAGAAAACAGAAAACACTTTATTACATATACATTATTCACTCAGAGCTTTTTCTTAACCACGATGCATTATTCACTGTTACACCAGTAAATATGCATCTACATGGACTCAAAAAAAAATAAAAAGCTGTTTCATTTACAAGTGTCATTAACGGTTCACATGGTCAGCTAATTGCAGGCTTTAGAGTGAGTTCTAAACAAAAGACTGCTCAGACAGGTAGGCAAGGGGCTGTTGCTTTGTCGGCTTTAACTCCCATAAACCAGTTTATGGACACAGCTTTTAGTATTTCACTTTTAAAATGTGGAAATGTTAAAGGAAAAACGTGAAAAAAATTGGTAGAGCAAACCTGATCTCATTAGGAGTCTCCTCCTCCTCGTACTTCTTTTTCTCTTTCTTCCGGAAGACGAGCCAGATGATTAATATGACAATGAGGACACCAAGGGATATTCCGACCACTGCACCTGCTACCATGCCCACATCCCTCACATCTGTGAAGAGAAAAGAGAAAGTGATGAGACGCAGATTTACTTAGTGTCACATATTGTTCATAGTTTTCATTCTTAACCTTAAATTCACACATTCCCATGGTCTTTCGTGCCACAGTGCCCAAATTCAGTGTAACACCAGACTTATGAAATTTTGCTGCTGAGCTACTAGATGTATCATTTTTTTGACACATGACCTCGGCCGCCCAGGGCCTCTTAGGAAATGTATCAGAGTGACAATGAAACATAACTGTTGGACAGAGGTGGTGACCAATAGCCACTGGTTTAACTTTAGTGCAGTCCCTAGTGTTGGAACTCTTGGGGAGAATGAGGATAGGGAGGGTGTGGGGAGGTAGATAGAAAGGCTGAGAGGGGAAAACGCATTTCCAGCTGCAGTTTGAAACAATAACCATCAATCAATCTGACAGTTTAGTGGGAGGTGAATGCTGCCAGGGCCCCTTTCTTCCAAAAACTCACGCTGCATTGTGACCTCAATGGTGCAGTTTTCCTCTCCTACATCATTGCTTGCTGTACACCTGTAGACACCGGTGCTGTCCATGGTGAGATTCCTCAGGGTCACAATCTCTGGGTTCTTGAGATCTGGGGGACAAAAAAACAAACACCTACAAGTCACAAGTGAGTACTGTATGTTGTTTATACACTTCAGTAAGTTTTGCATCCCTGATGCAGCACAGGAGAGAAATCTAAAAGATACAGTATATCATGACTTAAGAAAGTAAAGGAGAGAGACAGCCATAGCATGAGAAAGAGAAACAGAGAGATAGAGAGCAAGAGATGTTGATAAGAGTGTTTTTTTTAAAGCAAGGCCCATTAGACTGAGGAAGAATAGTATCAGTGTGTCTGAGAGAGCCCCATCGGATATTTAGTCATCCTCACCAATGACAACGATGTGATATTACATTTCACCAGACCCAGCTAAATAATGGCTGCTGACACCATGCGTTATCGTCCAATGAAAACTAATTAGACTGAACAGGTGTTGTTTGGGAGAGGTCATTAATTTGAAGAATTTTGTCTGGGCATGTGCCATCACAGATGCCAGTTGAACAGTGCAGAGAAAAGAAGCTTACACCCCAGGGATGTTTGTACTGGTTTAGAGGATACACAGTAGGGAGAACTGCCCTACTATTAGCTTTTCTGATATAAACCGTCTCTATTACTCTATAGAGACAGATACTGTATGTCTGGATAAGATGGAAGAGCAATGCCAGAATCCACAACATGTGAATGATGTTTGCCCCAGGGCTACTACAGAGCCAATGTTTTTTTTTTTTGAGATTGTGGAGTGAGGTGCCACTCCATTTTTGTGTATTACATTTATTTTTCTCTGCTTTACACCCAGGCCAAGAAAACACTCAGCTCATATAGGTATAATTCACTTGAGCCAGGCTGACATTTCAATGTCACAGACATCTTCAGCAGATCACAGTATTACCCTGCATCCTTGTACTGATGTAACTCATCCCAACAGAGTATGACTAGAAGTCACAGTGCTGTGTTCTGTTTGATATCTTGGAAAAAGTCAATGGCCTTTCTTATTTTATATTATTGCACATATTTTTTTTTCCTGGTTGACTTACAAAAGCACATTGAGAACCAGTTAGTAAATAAAGATTATTCTGATTCTTGTTACAACAATCCGGGCGCATCTAAGTGCCCTTGTAACTAGTGAAGCAGTAGGACCAGTAGTACCGAAGGTGGTGAATGTAGGTGTAGGTGAACGTAGTGGTACTGGAAAAATGTAGGTGTCACGAGTTTGCAGACATATGAATGTGAAGATGGGAGGAGGTGAAGGAAAGGCGCTACTCTCAGCAAAAACACTTCCTTGGATAAATGCAGGCAATAAAAATCACTAATATAAAAATGAATCTTAACATTTCTCTGCAGAGGGCTGGATGGTGAATCAGCACGTCACTGTAGTGCCAATTATTTTTCTTACCTATCAGTGCCAAGTTTGGCAGTTTGCCCAGACTTTTGCCTTTGTCCAATACTCGCTCCCACTTGTAGCTGATGGGGTCTGAACCATCGCTGGACTTGCAGCTCAGCTTGACATCACTGCCCTCTAAGAGTTTGCCATCCATCCAGCACCTTGGCTTCGAAGGCTTAACTGTAAGAACACATGGGAGTCAGAAACTATTTCATACAAATGTGCAACAAGCAAGGGGAGGTAGATACGATACAAAATTTTACCTGCATTGTAATATAGTACAGTAAAAATATGTATCAAATGTGCAAAATTTTAATTATTTATTTAGCAAATAGAGTAGTTTAATTTGAGCTGTTGTCTATCAATGTGAAGCCTGATCAAAACAGGTTTTTATGTAGTTGTTCTATTGACATTGAATTCATAAACACATTGTTATGAACTGTGATAAGATTTTAAACACTCAAACAAATACTCCACAAGCTCATAAAATCAGTTTTCCATTCATGGTTGATGGATAGTGATGATATTATTCTCTAAGTGTCTACAATGACCTGAATTATAGTTTACAATGGATTTACACGTTAAATAGAAAATTTAGTGAAGCATAAGTTATTCCATAATGTTCTATAAGTCCAAGTGATAAAAGTGAGACAGTAAGTGTTGAACATACATTATAAATTTTATGTCCATCTATAACCATTACTGGTGTTCTTCACAATTTTAAATAAGGGATAGGTGATCACAGTCATTTCTCAGAGAGAAACCCCGAGTCCCACTGGGAATGGGTCAGCGTAACCCCAAAGCAGGCTGTGAATGCTTCTGGTAATATGTTCTCCACAGGTCAAAGGTTTTTCATAGTCCAGTAGCTGGAGGTGAGACTGATCCCCTCTAAAAAATTGAGTACATATGTCGTTGTGCCAGCAGCTTATTACAACCAACGACCTCTAGCGACCATAGTAATTATGACACAAACTAAAGAGGAAGTGATGAAGCATAGAGAGCAGTCTACAGCAGAGAGGAGGCTGGGGTGGATGAATGTTCAGAAGGTGTAGGATTTCCCATAGGAGACCAGTGTTCAATTCCTGTGGAAACATTGTGTATTTTATCCGTGACCATTCCACAACCTTAATAATGTGTTTATTGTTGAAACCATGGCAGCAAATGTTACTATACTTTAACTCAAACCACGGCTGCTTCCTAAAACCTAACCAACTTGTTTCTGTGCCACAACCTGATGAATCGGTGCTGGTTCCATAACGGCAACAGTGCGTTTATGACAGTTTCCATGACAACTAAAGTCAGGTAGGCTGCCAGCTGAACAATTGTTTGTAGCGTATGATTACCATTATGGTTACCATGATGACAAAGGTCTGGTAAGCAGTGGCGGAAAGTAACTAAATGCCTTTACTTAAGTACTGTACTTCAGTACTTCATACTTCGACTTCACTATATTTCACAGAAAAATATTGTGATTTCTACTCATTTGCTAACTTTAGTTATTAGTTACTCTACTACTACTTTTGTACTTTTACTTAAGGAACATTTTGAATGCAGGGCTTTTACCTGTTATAGAGCATTTTTACACTGTGGTATTGCAAATTTTACTTGAGTAAAGAATCTGAGTACTTCCTCCACCACTGCTGGTAAGTGTGCTGCTGGAAGGGTCCTATGGGTCATATTCTAAGGGACAAATGATATGCATGAACATTTACGCTGGAGGACTTGCTGCTGGAGGCAGAGTACAGTATAGCTGGAGCCTGCTGAATCCTCTACAGCTGCTTTGTTTAGATACACGCCAAAAGCACTGCAAAGCTATAAAAAGCAGAAAGCAGAACACTGTTTTCTTCCTCCCCAGTGAGATATTTTTAGATCAGTGGTGAGCTAAACTTAAACATCTATTGTGTATTTTGTTACGCTGTCAGCTTCTGTGCATTTGGACGTTGCTGCTTGTCAAAACTGCAGTATAAGTAAAGCTGTAATGCTGAGAGATAGTGAGCTAGTAGTATTTAGTACTGTACATAAAGCCAGATAGCTTATGTGCATCTTTTTGTTTGTTTGTCTAACCCTCCCTTTCTCCATCTCCTGCTCTAAGAAGCAGATTGTATTCTTCTCACATGCTCAGTAAGGAATATAATGAGAGGAGCTGAGTGGTCAGCACCGATGCTTTGTCTGTGCACCTCACAGCTCTGTCAGGGTCAGTTAGGCCTAACTGCAGCTGGAACAGTTGAAGTGGGCAATCTCAGACACACACAAAATAGAAGCACATCCATATTTACCAGTACACACGCCCACACACACCGAATACAATGCCTACACATTTAAACACACTAAGTTAAAAATCTGCACATGCAACCCACCATCCCACACACACATACACACTTTACTTCTATTATTGTCATAATGTATTCCCTAGGCCCTTATCCTAACCTTAACCATCAGAACTAAATGACTACCTTAACCCTAATTCTAACTAAAACCAAGCCTTAACCTTCACAAAGCTGTTTCAGAAAGGGAGGACCAGCCAAAATGTCCTCACTTTCCAAAAATGTCCTTACTCTGTAGAAAAAATAACTTTTTAGGTCTTCACTATATAGCAACACACACACACACACACTTGACGGTGCAGACATCCAGGCATGAACGTGCAAATTTGCGCGTAAACACATCCACAAGGCAAATATAAACCCTGCCGCATACAAAGAAATATACACTTGCCCACTGTCTCATCTCAAGCCAGCTAGCAGCTTGACTGCCAAGCTATTATCTTAGAAAAATGCAAATGCTCGTCTCACTCGAAATCGAAAGTGTCACTGCAAAGCTGAGGGCAGTTTATAAAAATTGAGGCACTAACTCACTGAAATGTCTTTATGGAAGAGAGGGAAGATTAACAGACTGTTCCATTAGAAAACCAATAGCCACAAGTTGAACTAATCTCCCCTGATGTCTTAATAAATCGCCTACTTTTCTGACATTGAGAACAAGCTCATTCCTGCCACTGGAGTTTGTGGCACAGCCGCTCCCCTTTTGCAGTTCTTCAGCTATTTGAGATACGCAGACAGAGACATATTCACATGGAGCTGGTGGTAAGCCATTCATAACCATCTGCATATTGCACAAAAGAGGAAAATAAAAAGAATTAAAAAAAAAGAGAGGGATTAAATGTACAGTGTTGATTTTGATGTGGCTAATGAGGCCAAAACAGGCTTTTCTCCAGAGTTCCAGAGTTAAGACATGACTTGTACAAATACATTTCCTACATTAAGTAGCTTATCTGGAGTTAGATTTATGGCAGCTGACTTTTAAATATAATTTTCAAATACTAAATTTGATACAGGCTACATTAAACTTACTGGGTCTGTTGTCTGTTTTATAATAGATTTCATAAAGGAAAGAAATGTATCAGAATTTAACTCAGTGCTAGTCCATGTAACTCAGTCCCTAACTTAATGACTCAGTTCTATGCTATTCCAGACCCATCATATGTTTCTGGTCTCACCTCATCAACAAACCAATCCCAAACAGCATGACCAAAATCAAATCACACTGTCTGAATCAAATTGAATCATTATATCAGTCAGCATGACAGAGGAAATGTGCCAGGCTAATGATTCAGTGATTATGTCTGTGTGTGTGTGTGTGTGTGTGTGAGAGACTGTGTGTATATGTCCATTCTTCCTTGGACAAATGGATTTGGGTCTCTTCATGACTCGACGGCATGTGCATAGACATGCACCTGTATCTGTTTGCAACCTGAGTGTGTGTATGTATTGCAGCGTATCTGAGGACGCTCACCCAACACAACGAGGTTGACCTGGCTCCAGTGATATTTTCCCCCAGTCTTGACTTTACAGTAGTATTCCCCAGAGTCGGTCAGCAGCAGGTCACTGATCAGCAGGGAAGCATCTCCACTCAGGTACTCCCCAGCAAAGGACAGACGGCTGGCCTCACTGCCCGTCGCCTCATTGGTGTACACCTGGCCCCCAAAGAAGGTAATGATCTGGATATAGAAATGAACAAAATTTGAGAATTATTTTAATGTTGTTTACTGTATTC